GGCCACGTGTTTCAAGTGTGGCCGACGAGGCCATTTTGCCCGCGACTGCCGCTGCCGACCTCTGCCTTCGCCGCTTCCGCCAAGTGGACCTCCATCTCCTCCACCGGGCGCGGAGCCGCGACACCCTCGGGCGAGCCGGCACAAATCGGACACCCGGCAGGTCTTGTCACATCATTCATCCACTCACACACATAGTTGCACTTCAAATGATAACTGTGGTTCTTCTGTGTCATTGCCACGCTCTACTACACAATGGAAAAAATTTGCTCGTAGGGTTGTGGCTGCGGCGTCGGGCTCATCGACGGTACGGGGTACCATCGAGGGCATCGACGTCCGTATTTTGGTGGACACTGGCGCGTCTGCCACCATCATTTCCGATGTCATTTTTCATCTTTGTCTATTCCCACGTCACGAATCCGCCCGGTTAATGACGCGTGTGTAGCCGCAAATGGGGGTAGCATGGGTATTTTCGGGCAAGTCGATGTGCGTATTGCTATCGGTAATATTACCGCCAAAGGATCGGTGTTGATTTCTCGCTCACTGGCCGTCCCATGTCTATTAGGCACGGATTTATTGTGCCGCATGCCACTTAAGATACTGGTCGACCAGGATTGTTTAGATATGCCGGGGGGTCGTAGGATGTCATTCCTGCCTTCCCTGCTGGCCCGTTCGCCCCCGGGTAACGCAGTTAACGCCATGGTCGCTGCCACGGTAGAGGTTCCATCAGGCTCACAAATGCTTATCCCGCTGCGTTACCGTAAACCCTTGCAGGTTAAGGACAGTGTGAGGGGCCTGCTATTATCCCCGTCGAATTCGGTGTCTAAATCTTTTTCCCTGGTGGTGGCTCAAACAATCGTACGGCCGGGTCAGGCCCCGTTCATACAGGTGTTGAATGGTGGCCCGGACCGGGTCGTTGTTCCGGCTGGATCGGTATTGACTCGCGCCACTACCGATTTCACCAGTTTTGACGGAAAGCCACATATTGAAACACCCACCGATGGACCGCCGCGCGACCGTTCACAGGAACGGTGGATCGCGGACTTGTGCGGGGAAAATTCATCCTTATCAAACACGCAAAGGACTTCTTTGCATTCATTGTTATTACGGGATGCGCACGTTTTCAGTAAAAATGATTTGGATCTCGGCCATACCTCGCTTTTGTCGCACCATATTGACACCGGTGCTACGCCTCCGATTTGTATGCACCCGCATCGCATGAACCCTGCTGAAAAGAAAAACGTGCGCGGCACGGTAGACGAGATGTTGGCGGTGGATATTATTTCGCCGTCCAACAGTCCTTGGGGCACGCCAGTGGTACTGGTTAAGAAGAAGGATGGTGGAACGAGATTTTGTGTAGATTTCCGCCGGTTGAATAAGATATCCGTGGCGGACGCATATCCTTTACCGCGGATGGACGACTCATTGGACGCTCTATAAGGGGCAACATTCTTCTCCACCCTCGATCTGTCCTCGGGCTTTTGGCAGCTTCCCCTCGATGACGCGTCAAAACCCAAGATGGCATTCCGCACACCGCAAGGCCTCTTTGAGTTTAACCGGTTACCGATGGGCTTGAATGCGGCTCTGGCGACGTTTCAACGCCTGATGGAACTGGTACTGGCTGGACTACAGTGGGAGACATGCCTCATATATTTAGACGATATCATCGTTTTCAGTCGCACGTTCGAGGAACACCTCCAACGACTGGAGACTGTTTTTCAGAGAATGCGTTCGGCTGACCTAAAGTTTAAACCGAAGAAATGCCACCTTTTGCAACACTCCGTCCGTTACTTGGGTCATATCGTCAGTTTGGACGGCGTGTCCACTGACCCTCAGAAAACGCAATGTGTCCGAGAGTGGCCCACACCCACTTCGGTGGGCAACGTTCGGCGTTTCATTGGGTTTGCATCCTACTATCGCCGGTTCGGTAAGAACTTTGCCACACTGGCTAAACCACTGCATGTTCTGACTGGGCAAAAATCAGAGGTTAAAATGGGGTCCGGAGGAGGAACGCTCTTTTCACTCGCTTCGGGATCACCTCACCACGGCGCTTACGCTCGACTACCCAGACTTTTCCCAGCCGTTCATCCTTGACACGGATGCTAGTGATATCGGCATCGGGGCCGTTTTATCGCAACGTAAAGACGGAGTTGAGCGAGTGGTTGCATACGGCAGCAGGGTTCTGTCCCCTGCAGAAACACGATATTGCGTGACGAGGCGGGAACTTTTGGCGATCGTACATTTTGTCCGGCTGTACCGTCCCTACCTGTATGGGAGGAAATTCCTGGTTCGCACTGATCACGCGGCTTTGCAATACTCGTTAAAATTGGACCAACCATCAGGCCAATTGGCTCGGTGGTGGGAATCATTACAGGAATTTTCCTTCGATATCACGTACCACAAGGGTGCTCGCCACGCCAACGCGGACGCGCTCCCCAGGTTACCACCCATTCCCCCGTGCGCTTGTCTGACAGGTATGCACCGCTGTGCAGCGCCGCCTACCTCGCCCTGTCCGGTTATGGGAGCGATGTCGAACGAGGACAGCCAGGATGTACCAGTAGGCACTGATGATACCCTGCGGCTGCCGCACTCGGTGTGGCTACGCGAGCAGGAGGCCGATGCCTCTCTGGCTACGCTGCGGAAACTGATCGGGAAACCGAGAGCTCATTTGGCGGGATGGAAATGGCAGATGTTCCGGGGCCGGGCAGGACTATTGATGTGTACTGATGGATTGTCTGACCGATCACGCCTGGTCGTGCCTACATCCCTTCGCCATGACCTGCTCCGCTCTCTGCACGCTGACAAATTAATGCACCTCGGCGTGCAGAAGACTTTGGCCGCAATGCAGAAAGATTTCTTGTCGCCCGGCATGACGGCAGACGTTAACGACTTTGTCCGGTCATGCCATGATCGTGCGAAGAGGAAACCGTCTCGGAAACATTATGTGCCGCCACTACGTTCCATTGAGGTATCCCGTATCGATGAATTAGTCGCTCTGGACATCCCGGGGCCGTTCCCTCCATCGGCTAGGGGCAACAAATACTTTCTGGTCGGGGTAGAATATTTTTCTCGATGGCCTATGGCCTGGCCTCTGCCTGACCAAACGGCCGCATTCATCACCGATGCTTTCTTGAACGGTTATGTCATGGATAAAGGAGCACCCGAGAGGCTGCTCACAGATCAGGGACGTAACTTCTCCTCCAAATTGCTCAAGGATGTTTTAGATGCACCAAAAAAATCCGCACTTCCCCTTACCATCCGCAAACGGATGGCATGGTGGAATGATTTAACCGCACCCTTTCGGCTATGCTTTGTCACACGGTGAGTGAAAAACAGACCGATTGGGACTTGCACATACCGGGCGTCCTAGCGGCCTACCGCATGGTTTCGCACGCGTCCACGGGATATTCGCCATTTTTCCTGATGTATGGCCGTGAGAATGCACCCCCCATTGATGTGCAACTGGGCACGCCAAGTAAACAACTGTCCCTTTCCTTGCCTGATCACGTACGGGACTCGCTTGCACGGGTTACAGAGGCGCGAGAGGCCGCCAGATGTGCGATGGCCCGTACGCAGGCAAGGAACGAAAGGTGTGTGCGTCGATCGCGTACTCACATTCCCTGGTCGGTGGGCGATCTGGCATGGCTCCACTGCCCTCAGGTGCCAGCGGGCACATCCCCTAAACTGCACAGGCCTTGGCGGGGGCCTGTGACGTTGGTGGACAATCGGAACCCACAGAGTGTTCGCATCCAATACGGAAATCGTCGGTGGTACGTCCATTCGTCGCGACTCAAACCCTACGTTGACCCGCGTGCCGACCCCTCATCTCCACTTGTTGACCTTCCGGGGTTTGCTGTGCCGAATATGCCGCTTGCCTCGCCCGTTGATCCCCAGCGGGACTGTGTTGTGCCCCCCGCAGATGAACAGGTTTTGAGGGCTGATGAGACCCCCGCCGTCCCTCCTCCAATGGGACCTACCCCGGATACGACCGAAACCGAACATTTTCCTTCTTCTTCTTCTTCACGTCAACCACTTCCTGCAGATCCGGTGGCAAGGCGACCATGTGCAGGAAGCGGAGAGGGTCCCGGGGCGCGTACGCGGTCGAAATCTCTTCCGTTTCGATAGCATTGATTGCCTTGCAGTCCCTTCCCTGCTGTTACTGCGCTGCAGGGGCGCCCTAATGTCAGTCTGTTGTTCATGGGTGATTTTGTTTTTGTTTTCGGCGCATAGACGCCTGTTTCACCCCTTTCCTTGTTAATGCGTCTTAGATGCCCTAATAAGCAACTTTATGGGATCGGCTTGTCACCCTTTTCCCAGCCGAGATGGCTGACTTTTTCACCGGGGGGGGGGGGGGGTGATGTAATGAGAGCCTATGTCCGGCTCACGTGGTGATCGGCTCTGCCGGTCCTGCTCTACAGCCAATGGGGGAGAGCCTGGGAGCATGGCCCGGGCGTGATCGAGGGATGTCAGCTAGGATGATTGGTTCTGCTGGTCTTGGCCTCAGCCAATGGGAAGACAAGTCAGGGGCGTGGTCCCGGGAGTTGATGGGGGAATCTGGAACATTCAGCGCAGGCTATTAAGGATTGGCTGGAGCGTACCACGTGACCCAGGCATTAAATAAGGGAAGAGCCGAGGAACACGTGGTCAGACAAGGAACGAAGAGAGAGAGGGGCCACGCGCGAGCGGGGCTCCGAGTGCCACGTGGCGGTGCGTCTCTTGCGATCTGTCTGCCCACTTCCCATTGCCTGCCAGCAACGGGAGTGCTTGTGAACTGAGATAAGTAAATAAAAGGACCGATTCCACAAGCCGTCTCCAGAGTATTATTACACATGTGTTCCTCTTTCTGTCTCTCAATGCAATTCCAAGCATGCGTCTCTCAAAGTTATTTTTCTGCATGCACTTCAGCTTGTGTTCTTCGGGGGACGGGCATACACTTGGCTCAATGGACATAGCTCATGTACTGTACGATTCATAGCACACACCATTCTCCAAAGTGGCACGTATTCACTGATAAATGCAAATATTTATTTTTGTAAAATACACCCCACCTCGTGGGACAAATACTATTCGACGTTTCAGAATGTTGTCTTACTCAAATCTGGCAAGAGGCTATACTCGAAGCCAAATTGTGGGATACTGTAAGAGCAGATTTTTGAGGTGGGGTTCTGACTGCAACATTTTCCAGATCTAGCAGAAGGAAGGAAGAGGAGTGCTCGGTGTGGTCGTATCAGTAACACTGGTGACGCCTTCATCATGGGAATGTTCACATGATATGACATGATGCTACCCACTGACCCATTCTCTTATGGAATGTTTCCTCATTTAAACAAATGGCCATGACCCCAGCTATGATGAACAAGGCAAAGTAAACTTGTAATTCAAATCCAAAACATCCCTTTTTGTGAAAATAGATTATAAGACTTAAAAGTTTTGTTTGTAAGCTTCAGTATTACACTATCATCGGAATTGATTTGAAGAGGGTGTGTAAATTAATTTGGTTAGTGATGGACTCCTTGATTTTTTTTGTTTTGTTTAAGCCATCAACAGTAATTATGATAATGGAAACATACATTTATAATACAGAAGTTATTTACACATGCATTGCTCTGCATCAATTACATTTTGTTGAAATATCTGAGAAACAGACAAGTACTTTAACATTTAAAGTAAAAATATTTTCCCCAGGCAAGCCGAGAGCAGTTTCCCGACTGGGTATCAGCACAGAGAAATTCGTCTTATCCACGTAGAGCCCCACTCCTCCCAACGCCCTGGTTTAATGGTTATATTTTGTTCATTCCAATTTGCTCTGAACACCTCTTTGTTTTTATGTTCCTACCCGGTAATATCTAGTACTTTATATTACGAACGTGATCTACATCGTCATCCTAATTGTTTAATTCATGATTATATGAGTCATTTGTTCAACTTCTTCACAAACACATTCCTTCTGTATGCCTCACTACTCAAACGAGCAATGGTGGCATTCACGCAGCAGTATTTATAAATGCAAGCGGGCTCAGGCCGGATACGTCACTCGAAGGGATGATGGCTGATGGTCAAGACTCATAATGGAGTAGCAGCCAAGGAATGGAACGTGTCCAAGAGAACGTATACTGTTCAGATAGAGCGATGACATCAGTTTGTGTGCAGTTGCTAGGTGTATTCTTACATGGCAGGATCATGAGAGGCGGCAGTGACTTTGGGAGGCCTTTGTCTAGCAGGGGATATACCTTGAATGATGATGACAGATCTACATAAAATTCCTCCAATTAGCATCATCATTCTTGCGCTCACAGTAATCCTAATCATCATGATAATTACCATCATCACTCACATCGTTGATTATATATTGCATCCTGGCAGAGTTTACTTCTTCAAGTGTGAACTCCTACTCTTCACCTAAAAAAAAACTATTTAATTATTTGGATATTATTTTCTTGCTATAGGCGATCTGCATACAACTCTGCTACTAATTTTAATATTTTCTGTAATATGTTAAAGTTCAATCTTTCTCTCTGAGTTCCCATTTGTGAAGTCCCTATATAATCATGACTTAAAGCTTTCGTGACTGCAGGAATGCATATTCTTTGGGTCTTTCAGTAAAGTCACGTTGATAGGCTGAAAGAAAAACCAAAAACTACGACGTTTCAATCGCATGAGGGCAGGTTTCTCGTCCCCCGGTCACGTGTCCCTCCAGTACCCGGTGCTACAATCTAGTGACAGTGTACATCACTACACTACCCCCCCCCCCCACCCTTTATAAAAATCCGGAAATTCGAGGGGGAGAGGAGAAAAAAAACTTCCGAACTAGAGGAGAAAAATTCACCAAAAAAACTCCATAAGTTAGGGCAGAGGAGAAAGAATTGTTAAGAAAAAAACTCTATTTTGTGGACAGCCAGCCCAGGCTGTGAAAGGGGGGTGGTGGGGACTGTAAAGCCCGGCACTCTAAGAGCGCCAAATGCCTATTGTGGCGTCGCCCACCAAAACGTAGAAGGGGGCGATAACCAGGCACTGCGAGCGCACCAATAAACATAAGGCGCGACGAGAGCACCAACTAAAAAAAACTCGAAGAAGAAAAAACAACAAATTACCCGTTGGCACGTCGAACGTGCCCACCCGGTGGTGGTAGACTGCGAACCCCTCCCCGCAAGTAACAACCAACAGCGATATCAACGGCAACAAAGAACAATACAGTAGCAAATACACGGGGGGGGGGGGGAACCAGTCACCACGCATGGGGCACCGAACGCACCCACGCAAACCCCGCAACCAGGTAGGCGGAATGGGATAGTAGCCCGTGCTGAAACGAGTCACTTGAGCCGCACAGTTCTTGAGCAGGTCCTCGTCGCTGGGCCCCCGGACAGGGTGGGGCAGGCCTCCTCCTCGGATCCCGCGCCGGGTTGACAGTAACCCACCGGCCGCGGCCCTTCCCGAGGTGGAGAAGGAGGAGGCTGTCTGCCCTGAGAAGACGGAGTGGGCGACGGATGCACTTCCCCCATTTGAGCCGAACCCGGCGGCATAGCTGGCTGCTCCGCCGACCCTAGGCACTGGGGCCCTGTGGAGGAAGAGGCAGAGTCCCCCTGAGGCAACACATCCGCGGACGCACACCCCCCTCGTCGGGCGTACCCGACACACAGCTCTCAGGGATTGGAGATGAAGAGATGCCGGCAGGCGGACAAAAAGGTTTAAGATGTGACGAGTGCACGAACCAGCGCCTGCGACCGAATTGGATGCGGACACTTTGGGGGCTCTTACCTCAACAATTTCCATGGAACCCCGCCAGAATTTATATAGCTTAGGCGACATCCCCACGGGTACTTGGGGGCAGTGAAGCGACGCCCTATTCCAGACAGCCCACTTGATCCCCATTTCCCGGGTACCCACCCGCTGCTCTCGGCCTCCCGAATTTACTCGGGAGGCCTCTCTAGCCTCTGACAAGCGCTGGAGGGTAAAACGTACAGGATCGGGCATTTTCTTTCGAGCCAGATTCAAATTCAGCTGAACATCAATAGGCACATCTTGCTCCCTCCCGTACATGAGAAAAAATGGTGAGTAGCCGGTGGATGCATGTGGGGCCAATCTATAAGCTGCAAGAACACCCAGGACATGTAGGTCACAGTCTGTTTGTTCCTCATTGACCTGCTGGCATAACATGGATGTCAAGGTCCTATGAAGGTGTCCCATCATGCCGTCGGTCTGCGGGTGATAGGGCGAGGTGCGGATCTTTTTGGTGCCCAACAGGTCAAACATCTCCTTGAGGAACTTATATGAAAAATTTCTACCCTGATCAGTGAGCAGGCGTTCCGGAGCTCCCTTATCCAAAATGTGCCCGTGGAGAAAAGCGTCCGTGATCATTGCAGCCGACTGGTCCGGATCCGGCCAGGCCATCGGCCACCGCGAAAAGTATTCCACGCCCACCAGCAAATACTTGTTTACCCGTGGGGTGGTGGGAAAGGGACCAAGCATATCGAGCGCGATGAGCTCATTCACATGAGATACACAAATCAATTGGAGAGGGGGGCATGCCAATTTTGGTGGGGGTTTTTGGCGAGCACACGCAGTGCACCCTCACAGCACATTCTGAACGTCAGCAACCATGCCGGGCCAGAAATAGTTAAGGCGAAGGGTGGACATGGTCTTTTTGATCCTTAAATGCATAAAGCGTTTGTGCGTTGCCCAAATCAACTTGCCCCGTAGGATGGTGGGAACAACCACATTGTACTTTAGTAATTCAGCGTCCCATCACATCAGGAGGCCCCCTCGCAGGATCACTGTGGACAACGCCCGTCGGCTCTCGTCCTCCGCGGAGTCACATGTGTGTGTGTGTGAGACTGAGCGTGTGGTCACGCATGTCAGCTGCGTCCGTGTGCGCGACATCAGCTGCAGCGACAACCGTATGGGGCAGAACTGAATTTGGCGGGCCTGCACTGTCCCGTGCCCGAAATGCACACGCACTTGTCACCAGGTGGTAAACATGACAATGCATCAGCATTTGTGTTGAGGACACCTTTCTTATAAGAAACTACGAATACATAGTCCTGAAGGACCTCAAGCCAACTGGACAGCTGGCCGGATGGCTGCTCAACACGCAGCGCATACTGCAGGGCTGCGTGATCCGAGCGCACCTCGAACTTGCGCCCATAGAGGTACGGCCGGTACTGCTGGACGAAATAAACGGTCGCCAGCAACTCACAATGTGTAACGCAGTAGCGTTGCTGCACCGGAGATAGCACTCTACTCACGTACGCAACCACCCGCTCTACTCCGTCCACAACCTGGGACAAAACGGCGCTTATACACCCGTGTTGCTAGCGTCTGTATCAAGGATGAAAGGCAAAGAAAAATCTGGGTCACGAAGGGCAGGCGCATTGACCAGGCCATCACACAGCGCAGCAAACACCGCCTCCTCCTCCTCCCCCCACCGAAATTTCTGACCCTTGGCCGTGAGGATGTGGAACGGTTTAGCAATCGTGGCGAACCCAGGGACGAAACGTCGATAATAAGAGGCGAACCCAACACAGTTTTTGCCAGGGTCCGTGGATATCCCGGATTCACCTATGATGTGGCCTAGGTACTTATCCGATCTCTGCAACAAGTGGCACTTCTGCGGCTTAAACTTCAATTGAGCAGCCACACATTTTGAGGAAAACAGCCCGCAAACTCTGCAGGTGCTCCTCGAACGTACGTCCGAACACGATGACGTCGTCGAGATAAATCAAACACGCGTCCCATTGTAGGCCTGCCAACACCAGCTCCATCAGTTGTTGGAATGTGGCCGGGGCTGAGTGAAGTCCCATCGGAAGCCGGTTGAACTCAAAAAGGCCCTGGGGCGTGCGGAATGCAGTCTTTGGCCTAGAGCTGTCATCTAAAGGCAACTGCCAAAATCCCGACAGCAAATCAAGCATGGAGAACCATGCCCCCGACAGAGCGTCCAACGAGTTGTCCATCCTCGTGAGTGGGTACGCATCTGCCACAGAGACCTTGTTGAGTCTGCGGAAATCCACGCAGAAACTCAAACTGTCGTCCTGTTTTTTAACGAAAACGATGGGCGCCCTCCATGGACTGTTGGAAGATAATGTCGGCAGCCAACATCTCGTCAACCGCCTGGCGCACATGGTTTTTTTCCTTAGGACTCAGGCGATAAGGGTTGTTACGAATGAGGGTGATGGCGCAACAGAGGCGTGCAGCCAATATCGAATTTGGATCTGCTAAAGACATCAGAGAATTCCGTTAAGAGTGCATGCAGATCGAGCTTCTGTGCCATTGACAAATCTTTGCTCTCGGAATAGAGCGTATTCAACCATGCCCCGTCACAGTCCTCACCCTGCCCGCAGCCGCTGCAACACCCATATTCCCGCCGTTTTTCCACTTGCAACATGCAGCCGACACATGAGCCAAGACAGTGTCCTCCTGGATCACCGACGCACCCGGACCGACGTTCAAAAACTGAATGAAAGGTTGTCGATCGCTTGCCACCAACATCTGCGCGTAGATTACATTTTGGGTGCGAATCACCCTGGTGGAGGGGACCAGCAACAACCCTTGCAGAAATGATTGGAGATCAAGATGTTTCCTCAGATGCAAGGGAATTAGCGTCTGTTTACCGGGAGGAATTTTGACCATTTGTTGGCCATCGCAGGGACCGAAACATTCGTTGTGCGGAACAGAGTCGGCGATGATAACGCCATTTGTGGTCCGACGGTAACTCAATGCAGCCCTGATCTACATGGATCTTGAGCGGCATTTTACCAAGAAAATCCGTCCCTAACAGGCAGGGTATGGCTAGGGATTTTGAAATGAGCACCGGCCTCGTCAAACGAATGTCACTTACGCAAATTGTAGCCGAAATTTTCCCAATAATTCCTAATGACTGTCCATCCGCGCCAAAAACAGGGAATCGAAACAGGCATAATGGCGCGCGATTTTGGCGGCAAGCACTCAATTCTGTAATGATGGTCACAGACGCGCCGGTGTCGACAAGGACCCGTACCTCAACACCCTCGACGGTCCCGACAACCACGGACGAATCCACTGCCGCGACAATGTGGCGTGTCAGGGCCAGCAATTGAACGGGGCGTTGTGGCCAACCCTTGCCCGCAAAACCCCGATGGGCCCCCGATGCATCGCGACACAACTCCACGACCCGCGACTCCAAAACAGATGCCTGAGGTGAGACAAAGGGCTGCGTGTGAGTTGCGCCGCGACTCACCTGAGGACTTAGTTGAGAGAAGGGGTGACGATCCGAAAGACGACGTCGGCATTGGGGGTCCTCCCCGTCGAGCGCAGCACCCAATGGACACATGTCCTGGCAGCCTGCATTTGAAACACATGATCGGGCCGTCCCTCGGGCGAGGGAAAACCCCCCTTCGGCTGGTCTCGTACGCCCAGGTGGTGTTCCTCTGACCCCTTCCGCTGTGCCCTGGGATGGGAAATAATGGCCTGTAGAAGCCGCTCTGCTGTGGGTGCTCCCTCCTCCGTGGCCGGTCCTGTGTTCGTGACCGTACACACATGCTGCTTAACCCACGAATCCCAGTCCAGGCTGCAAGAGGAACGAGGAGCGAAGAACGAAGAGCTTCCAGTTGAATCCCACAGAACGAGCCCTGATCTCTGTCGGGGCTTCCCCTTTATTTCCCTGGCCGTGACTTCGCCACGCCCTCGGCCTCACCCCCTACTGTATGAGGGCAGGGCTCTCGACCCCCAGTCACGTGTCCCTCCAGTACCCGGTGCTACAGTCAAGTGACAGTGTACGTCACTACACATGCAATGTAAAACAAATACTTTAGGTGATGACTGTGAGGCAGGAGTGAAAGGGCTGGTGGGGGCGTTGTGGGCAGCAGCGTAAAGAGCCTGGGGGTGCCTTGCCCTCCCCTCCTTTTTGTGGCCAAAGCTACGAGTTGGAGCCCCCTTGACAACCACAATGAGATGTGGTTTCAACAACAGTGTAGACCAGTGGTTCTTAACTTGGGGTGCATGCACCCCTTGAGTGTGCGAGACAGTTTTTTTAGGAGGTAAATAATCGAAACACATATTGGGCACGTAAGTACAACTACTTTGTTTAATCAAACCTATGAATTTATTAACAGTATACATGTTTTTAATGATTGAGAACCAAAGAGGTGCAAGGCTGCAGTAAAGGTTAAAAACCACCGGTGTAAGAGAACACAAATACTTATTTAAAACGCGGCTTTAATTGAAATTTGTTTTGAAAATGCCTTCAGTTACGGTCCACGTTTTATGTTATTTATTTAGAGCGGTTAACGTCTTACCTCAATTTGTGCAAAATCAAATATTGGGGGCCCCAGCTGACCGATTTCCGCACCCCCTGAGCTGATAATGTCGTTCACTGCACAACGAGTTGTGGGGGAAGGACAGGCGAAAGGCCCCTCCCCCACCATTCACCGTAGTGCACCGATTCCCATGCACGCATAACCCCAGGATAGTCAGTCGTACCACAGCGTTTCCAGGCGACCACTGCTGGTCACCATCGTATTTTCACCACCTCCCTCGCTGGCTTGGAGGTGGCTGCACCAGCCTCTGATGCAACAAGCAATCCCAGTAGCACCCCCAGTCGTCACTCCAGCCGTGCTCCAGATAAATTGCCCTCATCACTGATCTTAAGCCACAAGCTTGGAGAGCTGGAGTTCAAAATAACTCATAAGCACACACCTTGTGAAATACCCAATGCAGAAGATCCCTGTATTTTATCTTCCACAAAGCTTATGGTCCACGCTAAATCGAATCCACTGCACAAACCATGGCAGATGCGTAAAACTCTCCAGGGTGCGACTGCGGTCATCCAGAACAGACCGGACAACATATAACGATGCAATGCCCGATCCACAAATACGAAGGAGATATCACAGCGATTAACACTCCACTACTCCTGACGCGGTTTGTCTGGCTTGACCATCTGAATTTTAAATTGTAGTTGTTGCTCTGCATCTACGTCAGCCATACGAAAGAAGTTAAATGAATGTAGCCCAGGGGTCGGCAACCTGCGGCTCCGGAGCCGCATGCAGCTCGTTAAGGACTGCTTCGTGATATCATTTAACTGCCCCAGCCGACAGCCTCGTGGCTGCCCGTTAACTGCCTCAACTGACAGCCTCGTGGCTGCCCGTTAACTGCCCCAACGAACGGCCTCGTAGCTGCCCGCCGATCCTTCTCCACCGAACACGCACGAACTGTAGAAGCGGGGCTCTGTCCTCTGAGTGGTGCTCATAACGTCCACGTTCAGCAACCACGAGTCGGGAGTCTCATCCCTGCAGTTCCGCGTTGTGGTGTCACCTCCATTTATCATACACTAGAAGGAGTTACCCGGCATTGCCCGGGTACTTGCGGCTATCTTTTGTGAATGTAGAGTGGCTCAATCACTGTGATCAGAAGGAAGGGGGTCCATAGCGTTACAGCAACTGTTAAGATGTTGCTGTGCAATGGGGCCTGTAATAAAATGTAATATAACGTTACGAAATAATATAGCGAAGCTTTGTCTTGAAGCGTTATTGATGCCGCTTTGTTTTTCTCACCACGGAAAGACGGCGTGGGTGCTCACGGAGGTTGCCCATTAATTGTAATCACCAACGGGGTTTTAGGTGATGCAATCAACGGCAATTGTGAGATTACCTTGATGAGGAGGAGGGGGTGATTTGTGTGACGGTTAGATGTGCGGGGCCAGGTGAATGTGTGCTGGGTTCGGGATGGTGACGTCACTGGGAGCGTGTGGGGTGCCGTTTGGGGGGCTTTACCCCCCCCCCCTATATAAAATGTTGGCTCGCCATGTAAGTGAGGGTTTTCTCGGGGTTTTAAAATAATATCCTGCCAAGTTTGGTGGCGATAGCTTTAACGGTGTGGATTTGTATTCGGAACAGACAGGTTTTAATTACATATATAAATCATACGATAGATATAGCCGCGCACTGTACAAAGCCAGTGACAACCAGTTCATACATCGTCTTGCCACCCCCTCCATGTACCGTATGGTATATGTAGAGAGCGTTGGTGATTCGAATAGCCACCGCGCGCAATGGTGAAGCATTGCGGGGCTGAACATCATCCAAAGACGGCCGTGGAAAATGCTTCATGCCGTTCTGGTTATCATGGAACACGGCAATTACCATTGTCTATTGAGTGGTGTTGTTTTTATCAACAAGAGACAATATACGTAGAGCAATAAACGTACGTAGAACAAATTGAAACGGCAGCAAAAACAAGCACATATACGATGTGTATTTTATAAAATTTAATCATATGAAATAACGTAAATGTATAATTGACTTACAATTATATAGTCGTTATACTTTATATTATTTGTGGTTCTTAAAATGTACTGCAGCCTGCACCCCTTCGGTTCACAATCGTTAAACAAATTATGTAAAAACATGCATAAGGTTTGACTAAACAAAGTAGTTGTACTTACGTGCCTATGCTTAATTTGTCCTTTCAATTATTTACCTTCTCAAAAATCTAGCATGTCTCGCACCCTCAGAAAGGGCATCTCGCATCCCCAGGGCTGTGTGCACTCCTGGTCAAAGGTGTGGCGTGGGCTGTGATGCGTGGTGATTCAGCTGTGGAGAAGAGACAGTGTTTTTTGTGTTTGGCGGTGGGAAGGGGCGTTCTATTTGTACACCACCTTTGCAGTCGCCACCTGGACTGGCTATTTGCTCCTCTGCACACTGGGTGGCTGAGCTCGTATCGAAGATAAAAGCTGGCGTCCCCCCCTACGAGTCGGGTCTCCCGAGTCGGTTTGAGTCCACGCCACAGCACGCCCCCAACAGTCCACCTGTGCACTTTTAAATCTAGATTGTTAAACTCATTTCTTTAAAACTGGGTTTTTGTGTTTAGTTTGTTGTCCTTCCCCCGCACCTCCGATTGGCACGGTTGGCTACGTACAGGGCGAAAGAAGGTCAACATACAGTACGTATGTAATGACAGGGTGTCATCTGTTGACCAGGAGTGGTAATCACGAGTATGGGTCCGTTATATAATAACCAACTAGAAGAGGGGCATAACTGGGTTAAAGGTAAAAGGCGGGATCAGTCGGGAAACTCCAGGAACCTGCTCGAAGGTTCTAGAAGGGGCGTGGCCCGAGGCGGGGCCTGGCCACGCCGGGAAGTATATAAGGGGGACGTGACCAAAGGTTCGGGGTTGTCGTGGGGTCCCGGGTCTTGACTGCCGCCACTGTCTTCACCGTCATCTCTCTCTTCATCATCCAGCCGCGTGGCCGATCCTCTGCACGGCTACCATCGTCGTCGTTGCTATATTAGTCAGCCAGCTACATGGTTAGACGCCGACAATGGGGCTGTGGAGATGGGTCAGCTATGCTTAGCCATGTATATATATTTATGTCGCCCAGTGATTGTGCCTGAAGTGTAAGAATAAATAAGAAGCCCTCTGCACGTTGTGTCTCGGAAGTTGCTCACTCCACATATACAAGGGTCAGCCACCCTGAAAAAAACGTGTTCCAGATCCAAAAACGTATCAGTATTATAAATTTCATACAATTATGAATGTCATTATGATGGTAAGTAAATACAGCAAATATTGTAGGTCTTTGCCAGCGTATACGTGGAGGAGGGTGGGAGGTGGGCGCAGTAAAATACAGGTTGCTTTAAAATGTTTTTAATACTTCTGAGAATTTGCAACAATACCACGAGAAATGTGCCTCCGGGCTCTGGAGGCCACCTGGAGAAGATCCCAGGCATGTGTTGACAATGATGGCGAACAAGTGGAAATGCTTTGACTTTTTGAAGGTATTAACATACATTTGTTATCATGTTACATTTTTACTTATCTGTTCTTTTTCCATTAAAAACAATAGTCCAATATAAGTGTTAACATTTTGTTGAAGCACCCTGTAGTTTAAGAGGGATGTAAAGAGCAGTGGTGGAAATGGGCCGGAACGCCGTGGTGTGAGTGAAATTTTGAACCCTGTGACTGCGTTCTGAAAGCAATCAAGGATTCGTCTCTTTTTAAATCCTTTATATTAAGTTCGCGTGCTTGCTTGCTTGCTTGCGTGCTTGCTTGCTTGCTTAGGACCGTGCAAATCTTTCGGTCGTTTTTTAACCCACTTCCCGTGATCCAATCGAGCTGACATTTTCCACACAGTCTCGTTGTGCCAGACAATTATTGTTCGTGAAAAACAATTCCCAAAATTTTACACTTTTTAGGCAAAAAAAATTATTTTACATATATTCAAATAGAACGCATTCATGGCTTTGGCTGAACGTCAGAATGTAAGAGCCCAGAGCGTAACCCCTCCACAGGCTGTGGCAGAGTAGCGCAGTTGGTAGCGCCCTTGCTTCCCATGCCAAAGGTCGCGGGATCGATCCCCGCGTGCTCCACAGGCGAATATATATATTTTAAATCCTTTATATTAAGTTCGCATGCTTGCTTGCTTGCTTACGACCGTGCAAATCTTTCGGTCGTTTTTTAACCCACTTCCCGTGATCCAATCGAGCTGACATTTTCCACACAGACTCGTTGTGCCAGACAATTAATGTTCGTGAAAAAAAATTCCCAAAATTTGACACTTTTTAGTCCCCTAGACTAACAGAGAGAACTCACAGACACGCACAGAACCCCACAGACTGCCAGGGGGAGTCTTCGCCGCGTCGGTGTGTTGGGCACGGCAGGGAGCTTCGCGTCCATGGCGAGCAAGCCGGGTCGGCACTACGCGTTCTGCCTCGTCGTCGGCCCGACCGTGACTCTGCCGCTGCTGCGCTGACGACGCGGACGTGATCGGGGGTGCGGGGGACTATGCTCGCGGAGGGACCATTCCCTCTCCTGGCTCCCACCCGTTGCCGACCTCCTTTGTCTTCCCTATGCAATGATGCCTTCATAGAGGGGTTTTTTTGGCTGGTGGGGGGGGGGGGGGCTTAGATCGCGTAAATATAAATATGTCTTTAGAACCCTCCACCACCCGATGCAGCCAATTAATAAGGTTTTCACGTAAACAAAACATGCCAATTAGTTACAAAATATGCTAATTAGTTAGTTATTGGTCGCGAAAGCCGACGTGTTAAACTGCAATGATTCTTGATCACTTTTCAGCCCTCCAGCTTTCTATCGTCCCTCCCCATTCCCCCAGCTACGACCAAGTCTATCCTAACCCCTTCTTGTTAATCCCTCTTGTTTCACTGCATCAAACAACGACATCACTTACAATAACACAATTCTTAATTTCAAATCAGACACGCACAGATACAGACACACAACAACCGCCATTCGTCACTCAGTGGCGGTGACGTCACAATAGCGCTTGTGCAAGGCGAGGTGCACTTTGAGGCTACGTGAACTGTCGAACGCCCGCGGGCAGGAGGTCACGGGACAGATCCAGGTGGTGCCATGGATTAACTCACCCACAAAGACAAAGATCCCCCATATAGCCTTTAGAGACTGTTTGGGCAAGTGTTGTTAGCGAGCACCTATGAAGGCCCGCACGATACATGAGGGGGTGGGTGGCCAGCACCACGCCCGACCGCCTTTGTTTCCCCAGTAACGATATTTACACACCATACCAGATACTCATTTGAGGCTGAATCGATCTAGGGGAGGCCCAGGACCGGGACTGGTTCAGATATTCGTCACTCGTGTTAGCCGTGAGCGGGAATTGAATCCGGGTTGCTGGCTCAGTAGCGCAGCGTGCTAACGGCTACACTGCCGCTCCCCACTGACCCACAGACACAACAACCACCATTCGCCACCAAGTGGCGATGACGTCACTACGGCGCTTGTGCCAGGCTATGTACACGTTGAGGCCACGTGAAGTGTCGAACGCCTGTTGGCAGGAGGACACGGGGCAGACCCAGTGCCATGGGTCGACTGACTGAGATGACTGGCCGACGGACCACCTGTGTCCCCTACTGTGCCAACTTGCTGTGCTTTAGCCACCTGGCGATCGGCTCGTTGTTGTGAGTGTCGCTCCTCCACCCTCCACTGTTGCTGGAGGGCGACCGCCTTCAACAGCCCAGTAGCGTCCCTCACGAGCCTCCTCCACAGAGGCCGATCTTGACACCGTTGGCACCAGTCATCGGCAAGTCCACCTAACTCCACGTTCCCCTGGACTACATGACTCCATCTCCTTTCCAGCCTGTGCCATGCCCACCCAGTCCCTCTATTCAGCCGAGCAAAAGCTGCCTAGGCATGCAGTGGCTGGGCATGCGGGCTACACGACCCATCCAATGCAGCCCTGCCTGCCGTAGGAGCTCACTGATGGGACCCTGTCTAGATATTTCAAGGATTTGCAAGATCCTCACACAATCCAGCCCAGTTAAACCCAGGATGGATCGTAGGCAGGTCAGCCCAAATGTTTCCAACCGGCGAAGATGTTCCACCAGGAGGGGTCCACAATTCGCAGGCGTAGAGAGAAGGGAAGGCATGACTATGGTCTAGAAGAACCGAAGCCTCGTGTGGAGTGACAGACCAGGCAGCCTCCACACAGCGTTACGCAACCGATTAAACGATAATGCCGCTCGACTGATTCGGAGTGAGACCGTTGCTGTCAAACCGGAGCCCGTCATGAGCACACTGCCCTGGTATGGGAAACTCTCCACTCTCTCCACAACTGCCCCATCACCAATTGGGAGTTGTGGAGGTGGAGTGTCTGATGGTACAAAATACCCAGGCAGGTGCTTAGTTTTGGTGAGGCTGATGGTAAGGCCCCACCTCTTAGTGGCACGCTCCACGTTCAGCAGCAGCGCCTCCAACTCCTCCTCTAAGTGAGCAGCAATTACCAGATCATCAGCATACATAACATGATTGACCAATAGGGAGCCATTCCTTGACTGCACCCGGGCGTTGTATTTGTACCAGATGGAAATTCCTCCGGTACAGCCATTGAAGGCTTCACGAATTGCGTGGTTGAAATAGATGTTAAATAATGTGGGATCCAGAGGACATCCCTGTCGCACTCCAAGGTGAACAGGGAATGGCTCCGACTCCCGGCCACGTAGTTATACCCGGGCCCGCTCACCATCATGAAGGTCCTTAATGATCGTAAGCAGAGAGTCAGGGGCTCCGAAAGCACGAAGAACAACCCAGAGCCCAGGCCGACTTATGGTTTCATTGACCTTGACCAGGTCAATAAAGCAGAGATGTAGGTCCTGCTGGAATTCCCTACACCTCTGCTGAGGCAGACGAACAGAAAATATGGCATCTGTGCAGGACCGCCATTTCCTGAAACCGCATTGGGGTTCCTCTAGCCTCTTCTCAGCGTGCCTAGCAAGGCGATGTTGAATAATCCTTGCCAGGACCTATCCCGACACAATGAGGAGTGAGATGCCCCTGTAGTTGTTACAGTCTGTGCGGTCCCCCTTCTTAAAGAGGGGGACCACCAGGGCATCCTTCCAATCCTGCAGAACCCCTCCAGTGGTCCAGACTGTTGTTATGATGTCATATAGGGCAGTCTGTGCACAAACGCCACCCTCCCTCAGCATTTCGCTTGGGAGATCATCTCTGCCTGGTGCCTTTCCTGGTCTCAGACTCCGGATCGCCTTCAATCCTTCCTCAACAGATGGCACCTCAGCCAGCCACTCACAGGGGGTGACTACTTCTTCCAATATTTGAAGCACCGCAGCTTCAGCAGGGTCATCCCCACTTTGCCCAATGATATTTTCCAGGCTGAGGGATTTTCTCTCCCCCAAAACCTCACAGAAATGCTCAGCGAATCTGCAAGCCTGTTCCTGGGGGTCAGAGATTGGATCACCGTTGTTTCCCCTAATGATGTTGATAGGTGTGGCACTACAACTTAATTTTTTGAGAGAATTAAAGCGTGATTCGTGATCGCGGGCCACTGAGGCAGATTCCATGTCCTCAGCAATCCGCGACCACCACCCATTCTTGCAGCGCCTCATGGCTATCCGAACCTCCGAGTGAATGCTGCAGTAAGCCTCCTCATTCTCTGTAGGATGCTGTAGACGATGAAAGTGGGCCTGTCGCTTTTTCTCAGCCAGCCTGAACACCTCCTCTGTCAGCCAGGGTCTCTGGGGAGGTCTGGACCGTGTACCCAAGGCAGCGATTGCAGCTGCATGAGCCACAGAAATAAACCTCATCCATTTTCCCTCGACATCAAGAGAAGTGGGGGACGATGCCAACACCAGCTGCAATGCATGATGAAATTCTCGCGTGCAACTTTCATCAGCAAGCTGAAACCAGGCCACTATGGGTTTTAATGGGGTCCTGGGTGTACACCCACCACTGTAGTGGAAGAATGGCAGACGCATCTTACAGATGACAAGTCGATGGTCAGTGGGCATATCAGCTCCACGGTAGGTCCTGGTGTGAAGGACATGGGCTCGCATCCGCTGTTCCATCACTATATAGTCCAGCAGTTGTTTGCGCTTGGACCCAGCATGCATTCATGATGTTGCGTGGATGCGCCGATGCCGGAACAGCATGTTGGTAAAGAAAAGCCCATGGGCTGCACAAAAGTCTAGCAGCCTCCTACCATTGTTATTTAGCTGATCTGGCCCATGCCTTCCAATCACTCCAGACCAGATGCCAGCATCATGACTAACTCGGGCATTAAAGTCACCCAACAGGATGACTCTATCCCGAGGGGGAACTTTAGCTAGCACCTGTGACAGGAGGTCATAGAAGGCATCTGACTCATCGGCCTTGCCTACATCCCTCCACTGATGTTCATATTTGGTGGGGGTATAAGTAACCATGACCACCACTCCTCGCCTTTGGTTTATGGGAAGGCGAGCCAAAAGTAGCCTAGGGCGTACAGCTTCCCACACCTCACCACCACGCTCCGACGCCCCCTTCATTCTTTTGTTCAGAAGAAGAGCCACTTCCTGTTGTTTGGCAGTCTCCTGCCCCGAGTAGAGGACTGTGGTGGCATGAGCCAGAGCCGGTCCACCGGACTTCCTGAATACCACAGAGATCCAAGCGGTAGTGGTCCAGCTCCTGACAGAGGAGTGGCAGCCTCTCCTCCGCAGTGAGCATGTGGCCACCCGCAGTGGCTTTTTGCTGCTTCTGGAGGAACCCCGAGGGCAAGGAGTCAGTCTCCTGTCTCCGCTAAACTGGGGTTTGACCAAAAGACGTCATAGACGCCTGTCCCTCCAGGGCTGCCGGCACAAGCTTCGTTTGATATTTTATCCGTGATATTGTGGTAATTTATTTGAAGGTGGAGGGGTTACCAGCCCCTTGCACCCATGCAGAGCCCCCGTTTGGCCTCTCTGATGGCTACAAACGCCATGAGGGGAATGGCCAATCGAAATTGGCCCTCCTCCCACGGCACTGCTCACCACAGCGTTGCCGTCCAGCACCAACGAGGTAGGGGGTTGTTTTGACGGACCACATACACAGATCCACACATGGAGCGAAGCTCCACCTCCTCCCCAGATCTAATGTACGGTCTACTTGATCTGAGGGAATCATTTATGAGTTCCCTGTAATTTATTCCCATTTCCAGCCCCAGTTAAGAGTATCTACACAAGCTCACAATCACACTATTTAACACAAAATCACAAAAATGCATTTTTATAGAGTGAGCACACTTTATGATTCAATACAAGCAACGAACACCAGTTTACAAGGCCATATTTTTTAATATATATCAAACAACGCACACAAATCAACCAAAAGCACATAACCAAGAGGAAACTGTGCATAACGGTAACACTCGGGAGCACTGGGCAGCCGAAGGATATCTTCCGTGACACAAACATCTTTTTGACAAAGTGTATTTCTTCCATGTTGAATTCGACTTTGTGAGTTTTTTACCGAAGAGATGAGATTATATTTTACAAAGTGCTAATATTATTGACTTGGTAAGCTCAAAATTATCTACATTACAAAGTTAAATTGTTATCCCATGGATGCATAATTTACCTAATTATCCGTATTTATCAAATAATGTATGCTATTTATCAGTTATGAATTCTCTTTTGACATATATGTATTGCGGGCTTATTTCTGCATTTTAAGCCATCTTTAAAATAAGTCTTGCCTTCCAAAAAAGTAAACACGGCATTTTGCTTCATTTGTCTGGGTGTGTAGCTTTGCCCCATATAATGACCTATGTTTTTCCTGTTTCCATTTCACAGCCGCAAGCCCCATTGACCCGTAACCCTCGTCTTGTAGCCCCAATGGTATTCCCATATCCCATTAGCACGAGGATATCACTCTTAGCACGGGGGCATGTTGAAATGTCACATGTATCAACGTTTTGTACAGTTAGGTGTAAATACTGAATATTTTGAGACGAAATCTAAACTAATTCGTTATACCTGATATACTGCCATCATATAACAATTGCATTTTCCTGGATATTCAAACATGAATTACAGAGACTCGAACATATGAAAAGCACGTGTTTCATTAGACACGTTATGATCGTCCAAGCAGAGATGGTCCAATTACTGGTGAGATAGAGAACTGCAGACCTCCGAGTTGTTCCCTTTCCATCGGAGTGGGCAGTAATGGGGCTCCTTCTCTGCATCCTGGCACAGGAGGAGACAAGTCACACCGCGTGCGGTTACAGCCGTCACACACACACACAGATCCCACTTGGCTGCTCGAAACCGTTACGACAGCAGGTGTGACTGCAGTCCCCCCGCTATCACATTCCTTACAACGTACATAGACCACAAGACAGGCGAATGTAAAGGACAAGCACCGATATGTCATGTCTGTAACGCTACCAGTAGTTTTCCAGTGCCAAGAGAGCTCTTTCTGTGTCATACAGATTCCTATCATCTGGGCGACACATCCGCTCTTTGCTGCATCCTCATAAGCACTTGGCAAAAAGTTTGATTTCTGCTCAGTCTGCCCCCCCCCCCACTGTTCACATCTCAGAGGTAATGAACATTTACTGCAAATCCAACAGACAGATATCAAAGTGGCTCTAACCAATCACAGGGTGAGGCGGCATCCTGGTGACCAATCACAGGGTGAGGCGGCATCCTAGTGGTGTTATGAAATGCGCACGGGCCTGGCATCAAGGCTGCCAAGTGGCGCTTTGGACAAACCATGGGAGAGGTTGTGCAGCCAAACGTAATTAATGAGTTGTTAATATTCAACTCCAATAATGCCTCTGTATCTCTCCCCGTGACTGTTTAGAAATGTTACCATATCTGTCTATCTCGATTTTCTGTTCATCTTATCAATTTTGTCTACATATCTTCCTTTCTTAGATATCTTGTTATACTAATTTTTCTGCTACATTCTCTCAGCTTTCCGCTGGAAGAGCAACACACTCGCATTCACTCACGCACACACACTCTGCAGAACAGGGAGAGAATATACAAACGCCACGCAGAAAGACACCGAAGTTGGGAATCGAATTCAATATTTTATTCCTGTGAGGCATGAGCGTTACTACTGCGCCAGCCTGCCACCCAGGCTGCAAGTCCACCGAGTGTTAAGGAAACATTTACAATAAAGAGTACTACACACTATCGTTTGTATTCATAGTTACTCGCGTAGTCACACTTACCGAAGCGTGTCCTTCCGCAGAAAGTTTGCCGACTCTTTGCAGTTGCGATACCAATGACAGGCATTCTGTTTTGAGAACAGAGCATTAATAACGCTTTAAAACAATTATCAACACGCATGTTTTAACTTGATGGGCTTCATCATCGAGGCAGTGGGTAATGTCTTTAAAATATGATTGCGATGTATTGCACTTGTTAAGCGAGGAGCGCCTCACTGAGTCTCATGACTCTTTTTTTCAGGAGGGTTCTGTTCAGTTTTCCTCAGGGCACGTGCTTATTTCTAATGTATAAATTTCAAGAGAGTTACTCGTAGGTAATGTTTCAACGTTGGACCATGACAACAGCGCAATGGCCTTCTCTTGTAACAAGCGGCAGAACGTGCTAACGTTAGGCCGTGTTATAATTAGTTGCATCGATTGTGTTATGGCCGCATACAGTAGATTTCGGAATTTACTTACTTTATTAACATACGTGTAAGTTATGCACAGCCAACTTGATATTTTTATCAAGAATCCAGACCAGATGTAAACAGACTTGTGTCCTTTTCCCAGAAATGAGCCAAAATAAACATGGCCATGAACCCCATTCCCCCATTTCTATGAGCAGTGCATTGCGTGTCTCATAGCTCCAAGCCAGCTGTGGAAATTCCACGTTCCAATGGAGGCAGGCAGGCTCTTGATCCACTGTTGACAGCACAAACCGGTGCTCTGTTTATCAATCCTAAGAGGAGACTTATAGGCCGAGTCAACTGCAACCAGGACGTGAACTCATAATCTTCCCGATAATATCCATAATAGAGGTTTTTGGGTTAGATCGCGTGAATATAAACGTGTTGTTAAACCCACCACCACCCGACACAGCCACTTAATAAGATTTGTCACGTAAACAAAGCATGTCAATTCGTTAGGAGTACAGCACACCGATGTGCTGGAGAGTAAATCCACAACATGTACAATTCGAGTAAGACATTTCGGCAGTAAATACAACTAGCATCATCAGGCGATAGCCAGAGTTGTGGAGAAATCCTTCTGTTTCGGTCTTAAATAGAGGGATACATGTGAATTTATCACTTGTGAGCCAATCAGGTGCAAAGGCAAAGGGACCTGATGTCAAGGTAATACTGTATATGCTTTAAACTTCATCTGCCATTTGCTCATGATGACGATTCGTCTAAACAATGTTATTCACATGCTTGAATAAGACCCAAAGGCTTGATCACACATTACGTTTGTGCCTTATTATTTTCACAATAAAGCAACAGTATATATAGGAACCCACAAACAACTGAACACTTGTAGGAATGGCCAACGTTCTGCGTTTCCTTACCTTTCTTGACCATTACCAGTTTGTAGATTAACAATGCGAACACCAGTAGCAATACAGCCATCGTTGCAACGGCAATGAAAAATAGCATCTTATAGAGGTAAACTATGTTGTCAGGTTCAGTGCCTTGAGTTGTGTTTGAGTTCTCACAGCCAGAAGAGCCAGAGCTGGCCACCTCTGAGATGCATTTTGATGGATTCGTGGTGACATTTCCAACTGGTTCGGTCCCTGTGAGCGTTAGTCACAACATTAATGACACCACTGAGCTAGGAACAATACAGGCCACTCTGATTGTGTGATTCCACACCATCCTCATCATTCTAATTAAACAGATGAGGCATTGATGAGTTTAAAATGTTATTTGAATTAAAGTTGTAAAGACATTGGTCAACCAAACGTAAATCACTCATTTCAAATATTGTATATGTTAAATATCTGTAAACATTTCGAATTTAAAATAAATGTTAGGTTTTAATATTAATACAGAGGATTTACACAATTTTAATCATGACAAAAAGTTGAAATTTGCTGAATTAAAACATGCATATGATATGCGAGGAATCTATAGTGTATATTTATAACTTAGAAATATTAACGTAGTTGACAATACCATAACATTTTCTAATTATTTTCAGTATAAAATAATTATTCGTAAAGCTTCGTCTCGTGTTTGGATCTTTACCTTTTTCTTTTGCATTTGTAACAAATATTTGTTACTATTTATCCTACAGCTGGTAGGAATATGCTTGCGATGTTTGTGTTAACCCCATAACAATTAAACAAAATAAAAATCAGGCCTGGATGTGAAGTTTCAGATAATTCGAAGGTAATTTCGGAATAATCCTTGAACCGGAAGTGACGTCACAGACATGAGGTCGGCGCCGCGCTTTTCCCGCCAATACTAGTTTCACGTGGCACGTCACGATTATCTCCACAAATATGTTTTACATTCGTGCATAATGGAGGTGCTTTGAACACACAGGATCTGAGTGAAATTGTCTTTACAAATACGACATCCGAATTTATATCCCAAACTCATCCCAAATACGTAGCTATAAACGTTTCACCATGCAGAAATAACGAAACCGTAGTCCGATGTTAGTTGCACAGTTCACCATTGGTGTTTACCTTTTTCTCTCATGATGAGTTGATATTCTAATCTCTGCATGATTTTAGAAACATCCGTAGTGTATAGGCAGCGGTATAACCCCAGATTCTCAATACGAAAGACAGGTATCAGCAAAGAGAAATGGTTTTGAGCCTCGCAAATGATTGACGACGCACAATTCCCATCCACACATTAACAACCCAAATATCCAAAAGCGCCATTCTCCGGTGTCCATGCAATCACTCTGAAGTCGTTTTTCTCCGTGTCACCGTACGTGTATCGTACACCACAACTCTCCTCTGCGTCACCTCTTCAAGGAGCCATCATCAACACCACAGGGCAGCACAACCTGCTCTCCTTCGGTCACCAATATGTCCCGGGTTTCGTTTGCGGTGCCTAGGAGTGGCGGGACAGGGGGTCGGGGTGGAGAGATAGATAAGGGGACAGTCGGGGGGAGCAAGGGTTGGTGAACACAATAACAACCACATTCGTTATCTTGACATCATCGAGTCAACACGCGGACATCAGCGGTAGATCGAATGGGTGGCGATCGAAAACTGGTATGTTATTAACGTTAACCGGAGAAAATATATTTAGCATATGAAAAAATAATAATGTAGGGCTCTGTAAATTTACATACACATTTATATTGTTTACATACATGTACTGTATATATGAAGTGTATTTATCGATTCATTAAGACTTCTGTCCGCAGACAAATCAGGGGTAGAATTATCCCCTCCATTGTCGCTATAAACGGCATCGTGTGGAGTGATTGTGAATGAGAGTCCAATGTGAAATCACCGTAACATTTCCAGCTCATGCCATAACAAACGCCACTAACGTGCATACGATTCTTATCAGTAGAACTTTCATTGCGTGGTGTAACTGTAGCTGTAGTTTAACGCGTAGTCTTTCGCGACCAATATTATTCATAATTAAGTGTTTTTGGGTTAGATCACATAAGTATAAATGTGTCGTAACTCTCCATCACCCGACACAGCCAATTAGTAAAACGCGAATGAGTTACTACTCCAGCCCAACGGTGTGTTGGAGAGTAAAACCACAACATTTACAATTTGAGTACGCCGTTTCGCTGGTAATTACATCAACCAACATCATCGGGCGATTTGCCAGAATAGTGAAGCAATCCACCCGCTTCCGGTCTTAAATATAGCAACACGACTTCATCACTGAACCCCATCAGGTGCAGAGATCAAGGGCGGAAGGGGGGTTATTGTAATTATATAATAGATTAGTAATCAGTTAATTAGTATGTTTCCTATATAAGGAATTGTAATTGTAAGATGTATTATTAACCGTATCTGACAGCTAGATAATGAAGGTGCGCGTAACATGCACGATATATAAGCCTGGCTGCACCAGGTTTCAAAAGCACGGCCCACGTGTGTGTGGAGATTCGTACTGTATTAATTGTGCGGTATGGATGCTGATATTTAAACATTCTTAAATGGCACGTGTCGAGACACGGATTGCATTTATTGCAGTATTGATCCTGGTTATTAAACATTATTAATGGCACGAAGTAACATAATATGCAGATGTCCATAGTAAATGATTCATGTGATGTTATCAATCTTGTTAGAGTACAACCACAGCAAGCCATTTGAAGGGTGAATGGCACTATGTCGTGTGATGTCTTTACGGGGGGGTTATGCTAAGGGATATACTGGGCCCTGCCATGTGAATGTGTAAAATCACACCACTGGCTCTGGGCCACCGACAGGAGTGAGCACTACCCCGACTTATTGGAGTCGGGAGACACTTTGACCTTGGATGTGTGTGACAATGTCATGGACTCCACATTAGACTGTATTTTTATACTGGAAGAATCCGATGAGTTAATAAGCTCTTATTTTCAATTCACACGTCTCCTGCAACAATCGATTAGCCGCAAGATCGTGGGCAACACGCTTGATGTAACGCACACATTTTCTATTTCACAAAGAATGAAGCAACATCGACACCTTCCTGTAATTGATTTATAAACCTCTCCGTTCCTGCTTTAAAATTAGGAATTGGCGGATGACGGACCAGGCCGTTGCGTTCCTCCCGTGAGGAATCACAGCGGAGCTCGGCCGCTCTGAGCAAGAGAAGTCACCACGGAAGTTTTATCTTTCGCGGTTACTGTGAATGTGAATGTCGTGCGCATTGCAAGACGCTGCGATGGGTTTGCGGGCAACATTTTTGTGATAAAATAAAGCGCATTTTACAAACGTGAAGGAGTAATGAAGTGTTATTATTTGTACCTGCTATGCGCCATCATATTCCACAAAACTGTTTGGTAAAGGTGGTATCTATATGTTTAACCAATATGGATTTTGAAATGAAAAAACTCAGATACAACTGTCATGTAGTTTCCATGTAAATACTGTAAGATTATTATTTAATTTAGGGACACACATATATGAATGCAGTAACTGTTTAACGTTGGTATAGAGCGAAACTACTGTTAGCAGTAGTGGGGGAAGGGACAATGGACAGATGAATTGGAAGACACAAGTTATTTTCCTGTAACCGACGTAAAATACTTTTGATTTGTCAGCGATAATGAATGTATCATCTAACTCATCTCAGCTGTCAACGTCAGGTACGCGCGACACACGTCCGCAGGAGTGGAAGTCGCCACTACGTCCAGCAAAGTCCGTCAGATATTTTAGCATTAGGCTTTGCATGTGCGACATCACGCCGTCAATTGAGGAGCAGTGGGCAGTTGCATTAAACGCCTTGTTGACTTTTTCACTTAGTTTGTAATTTAAATCAGCACACGTTGGGATAATATTCCACTTATATCGTTCGATACAACCAGCCATTGATCAAATGGCCCAGCGTAAGGTGGGAGCTGGACCAGGCCATGCTGAATCAGAGGATTACTGGATCAGGAGCTGGGTTGAGAGTATTTTTAATGGAAAGAAAGCTGGATTGGGAGCATCCTGGATTGGGGAATACTACATTCAATCCAGCAATCAGCCCCATGGACAGGGCGCTGCTCCAACATCACTGAACCTGCGGCGTTTCGATGCCCAAGTTTCCTCTGAATAGTTTCAACAGTAAGGAGTCGGGGCAGTGACACGGCCCAATGGTGTTCCCTGCCTGTTGCAGAGGTTTGCGGTTCGAGACCAGCAAGCAGCCCTCATTCTTACTGCCGGTGTATTAACCATAAAAAATAATGCGCTGTCTGCTTCACAGCGGACGTTAAACATCCCAGTGACGTTATTCGAAAAGAGGAGGTCAATATTCTTAAAATTATCCGCAGATTACTCAATTAGGATTACACGCAGTAACATCGCCCCCTACTGTGAAACGACTGCTATGTCTAAATTTTTACTTAAAACTTTCGTGACTGCAGGAATTCATATTATTTGTTTCTTTCGGTAAAGTCAAGTAAATATAAAAATAAGAATAAACTAAAGTGAATAAAAATAATAAAATTCAAATAATAAAAAACAAAAACACTAATGTAGACTGTGGCCTGGTTCTAAATCGGAGTGAGTGTACTGGTAGTCTATAATGTAGACTGTAGCCTGGTTATTAAGTTTGGTGAGTGTACTGACAGTCTATAATGTAGACTGTAGCAATGGTTATTAAGCTGGGTGAGTGTACTGGCAGTCTATAATGTAGACTGGAGCCTGGTTCTTCACCTCGGTGAGCGTACTGGCCGTCTATAACGTAGACTGTAACATTAGTGTTTTTTTAGTTTTTTATTTTATTCTTTTTAATTGTACTCACTTTATATTTCTATCTACGTGATTTTACTGAAAGAACCAAAGAATATGCACTGCTATGTCTGTTAAACATCGCGCCTTCCTTCATGATAGCCCCGCACTATAAGAATTGCGTGATTACCAATCTACTCTATTATTATTGTCTAGGCAGAGGAGGCTGTGTCTGCAACTTATTTACCCTTTACCATTAAGAAGTATCGGGGAGTGGCGTAAAAGTAAATTTAAATAAAATATGAAGGAAAGTAAAACCTGTGAAGACAGAGTAAGTGGTGTTTGTTGCGGTTGCACCCGGTTCAAGAGCCGAATGGCTCACAGGGCTATAAATGAAACTTGTACTAAGTTCCGATATATTTACTTTTGAGGTTAAACAGATGTTGGAGGAACTGCTTAACAAAGATGCTGAGTAGGGAAAGTTCGTTACAAAACTAACAAATTTCCTTACATTTCGCGCACCTCCGATTAGCACGGTTGGCTTTCGTACGGTGCGAAAGAAGGTCAACATGCACGACCGTTTCCTACGAGGGGAATAGTGTGGGGCAACTTTGGAGGGGTGCGTTCATCAATCATTCCAGGGACAACTGGTTAATGGCTTGGAGCAATTCTGGAACACCCTGCCACCAGACGTCCAAAACGCGCCGAGTGTCTCAATTCAGTGGTCCGTGCAAGACGAACCTATTCAGACTCGCCTTCCCATAACATCTCAAATAAGATACTGTTTTTTTATTCTTGACTTAAAGCTTTCGTGACTGCAGGAATACATATTCTTTGGGTCCTTCGGTAAAGTCACGTAGATAGGTTCAAAGGAAATAACAATAAATCACAAAAAACTACGACGTTTCGATCGCAACACAAGCGTTCGTCATCTTCCTGAAACGTCGTAGTTTTTTGTTATTTTCTTTGAACTTATCTACGTGACTTTACCGAAACACCCAAATAATTTCTTTCTTTATCATTTATTTTATTTTCTACTTACCTTTCTTATGCTATTCATCGCGCACGGCTGCACTTTATTTTGCGCGCAGTTGCAATTTATTTTGCTCGGTCGGTGCTCGCCGCTGCGGTCGTGACGGGTCCGTTCCTATTCACTGTACCGCTCCCATTCTGCTACAATGTGCACTGGTGCCTATTGGTATTGGGGTCGATATTGGCATGTAAAATTAATATTGGTTGATTGATTGGACAGTGCTCATCAGAGTTTTGTTGAAAGGATTAAATGGCATAGATGCGCGTGTGTGTGTGTAATGGGGAGGTAGTGTAGCGGTTAGTGCACTGCGCTACGAACCCGGCGACCCGAGTTCGACTCCCGCTCACGGCCAACACCAGTGACGATTATTTGTGGGCCCTCCCCTAGGTCGACTCAGCCTCAAATGAGTACCTGTTGCGGTGTATGAACATCGTCACTGGGGAGACAAAGGCGACCGGGCGTGGTGATGGCCACCCAACCCCTCGTGTGCCGTGCCGGCCTTCATAGGTGCTCGCTAACAGCACTTGTCCTAACAGTCTGTTAAGGCTATATGGGGGCTCTTTGTCTTTGTGTAAGAGGAACCAGGGTGCTCACGGTGATTAAAGGCTCCATCACTGTTAAAATATTCTGCAAAGCCGTAATTACAGTAGAACCGCTCTTAACGACGGCAATTGGTTCCACGAAGCCGGTCGTTAAGTGATGTGGTCGTTAAGCGAGTATAGGGAAATACACGTTAAAGGTTAAATTCGTTCCGAAAGCATCGAAAGTTACCCTTATTCACCCAAAAGAACGTACTTAATAATATTTAAACAATGAATATGAAGATACTAACAACATTCTAAACACTAAATATTAAAAGAAACACGGTTAATAAATGCATTAATTCATATTTAATGTACCGACAACAGCCAGTCGTTAACAGGGGAATGGTCAGTGAGCGAACACATTGATTAGTCGTAATACTTGTCCACTGCCACTGCTGCCGTCATGGCACAATCCTCTCCAGCGCATCCACCACCACCATGCTTAAAGACTTCTCTAGGATCCGATTTCCAGGATGCATGCAATCGAGAGTAGAAACACGTTTCCCTAATCGGCTTGCTCTAGTGATTTGGTTGGCCTCTACGTTGTCCACAATGTTGCACGCCATGATGTTGGTGAACAATTTCCATGTGTGTGCGAGGACGACACTGGGCCTGTAATTCATAAAATCGGTGTCGTCTTTATTCATAAATGGAAGAATAATTGTGGCATCGTTCTATGCTCTCGTTATTAAGTCTACACATTTTTGCTGCTTCTTTGATGATGCCAAGTTGTTCCATCTAGTCCAGGAGCTTTCCCTTTTCTGAAAATGTAGCATCAGTTACTTCCTCCTGTTCGTGACGATGGAAACGATGACTACAATGTTGAAGACTACGACAACACAATTGGATCGATTGATGATTTAGTTGTGCACCCTTGATTTAGCAGATAGTTTATGTGCTAGTCAATGGCGATGTCCAATGACATTGAATTTCAAATGATGCTGTAAAATGACAAATCCTGAAGTGGATGTGCATGTCTTGCATGCGTAGCCACAAGGCCTTGAGAAGGACATCTACATGGGAGGTGACGCAGGTCAAACTCAAAGCTTGACCACGCCGAGACAGCCTACACACAGCCTACACACCCATCAATGCTGTTGCACGTGCAATTTAATTATATGCAACGATCCATACGCGGTCAACCATTTGCTGCGACGCGTTAATTTTAAATACCATCCAACGTAAAACGCAGATATGGAAGCACAACTTACCTTTTGAAATGAACATAAACGCCACAAGTGCAGCATAATCCCAGGAACAACATGTTTAATGAATCTGAAAATAAATAAAGCGTCGATTTAATTCATGTACAGACTACATACACTCCAAAAACAACAGCGTCCAGTTAACAACAGTAGAAATGCACATTAGCGCAATTAACATAACACACACACACGTAGCAGCAGTAGGGCACATTACGTTAACATTGAACCAGTACCTTGAAATGTAATGAATATGAAAACATAAATATTCCTCAGAAACATTTACGGTTATCCTATATAAGTAAAATGATTATAAATGCATGTTAGAGTTTTAAACTTGATTTGGAGCTTTCGTGACTGCAGGAATTTGGTTCTTTCGGTACAGTCGCGTAGAAAGAAAATAAATTAAATAATAGAATACGACGTGTCGATTGCAACACAAGCAATCGTTTTCAGGTACGAATGAATGACAAAACAAACCTAGTAAACTTAGAAATATAATGCAATACAACACATAGAGTCGGCTAACATAACAGTCAACACCCTACCTGGTTGATTACGTTCTTCCAAATATTGCTAAATTTGAGAGAGAGACAAAACACAGACACGGAGACACATAGATATATAAGCAGAAAGAGACAACACAGATACACAAAGACACACACATGGGGACACAGAGAAACAACGCCTCTGTGTCGAGGCCTTAAATAGAGAGAGGGGGGGGGGGGCAGAAAGAGAGGGGGGGTAGAGAAATTAGCATGTCAATGAGAGATTTACTCTAGGTTCTTTCAGTAAAGTCACGTAGAAAGAAAATGAATTAAATAAGAAAACAAACTTCGTAAAATTTGGAAATATAATGCAATGCAACACAGAGAGTCGGTCAACACACAATTAACGCATAGAGTGTCTGTGTGTCTCCGTGTCTGTGTTTTGTCTCTCTCTCAAATTTTACAGTTAACTTATAATTTAACAATCTTTGGTAGGGTGTTGACTGTTATGTTAGCCGACTCTCTTTGTTGTATTGAACTATATTTCTAATCAGTGGCGGCTCCTGCAAAATCTCTCAGGGGGGGCAAATGTCTGGATGATTGATAAGGATAAGGTCCACCCATGTAATGGATAAATTAACAGCTTAAGCATGTAAAGGCAACTTCACTTCTTTAATATTAATGAAAAATAAAGTGACTCTTACAATACATCTTGTTTGTTTATATACTCACTATTAAAACAAACCACTCAAGTTTATTTTATTAAAGATTCCACTAGGTAGCGATAAATTATATTGTTGGATGAAACGTGCTTACGTATGATGACGTAAGCACGTATGATGACGTAAGCACGTTAGGGCTTGCCCTCCCGGAAGCCATAGAGAATGCATTGGAGCGCCCCCGTTCGAAAAAAAACATCTTTGAATGTAAGTCTATGGGGCCACTCGGGGCGATTCTCAGCCGGAGTGAAATCGCCCCAAAAGAGGCGGTACTCCACAGAACGTGACATGACGCTGATTGGACTATATCCAGAGGCTGCAGTGACGGCTAGCGTGACTGTGGTTGAATGACATTGGTGGTGCGTCGCCCAATCGCCCTAATGAAGAAACCGCCCCTGTTTCTAAGTTTACTAGATTTGTTTTCTCATTCATTCGTACCTGAAGACGATTGCTTGTGTTGCAATCGAAACGTCGTATTCTATTATTTAATTAAATTTCTTTCTACGTCACTTTACCGAAAGAACCAAAAATGTTCGTTAGTGTTTGTTTCTTTATATTCTTGGAAATGCCTCCAGGAACCTCCCTTATCCAGACGGAAAGGTTTAATATCGCGATGGGTCCCTGGCTCAGGGCAGCCACGGTGGGGTCATGGTCAGCACTCTCTTCTATTCTTGCGCATGATGGCAATTTGTTCACGAGCTAAATGCCAATGGCGTACACGACAGTGAGTGATTGGCAGGTTGCGTGTGGTGGGGTAAAGTGTGGGTACGCTCACCTCTTCCAACACGTGTTGTCAAGCATGGAAGAGTAGGCCAAATAATCTCTCGATCTCCTTCTCGTGGGAGGCCGTTCCCACAGCAGTGGCTTGAGCGAGTAATTCCAGGGCAGCACCTTGACCTGTTTAACCCCAGCTCATCCACCCTGACACACGAATGCATTCGACGCTCCCGAGACTGTGCTGGGCCACAAGCACTCTGCTACGTTATAGGTCTTTACGTAATATAACCTCTAATCAGATATCATTAATCACATGTCGCACGTTCAGCATTCGTTATCATGCTAAATGTGCCGTGCTTGGTGTGTGCAGCGTTGTGAGGGTTCGATGCGTACAAGCAAAGCATCTGCAATGGAGCTCCCCCTTATCCACGAGTCAGCGAACCTCTTGCAGTCAGCCAAAGTCACAAGGGGCATTTCAATCCTCCTGGAATTTCGGCGGCCTGCAAGCCGCCTTATTCTAGCTCCTGCGGTGGGCTTCTCGGCGCTTCGTCCATCGCCCGTCGCCCTCACTGATGTCCTATTCTCCCCCCTCCCAAATGTGTGCAGATCCTACTGTCTCGATTGTATGTATGCAAATATGCCTACAAAACACATTTTGGGGGGGGGGGGGGGAGTGAAAATGTATTGGTGGGGGTCGACAATTGTTGTAAACCTGTTGGATCAACGTTTAACCCCCACATTCCCAGATGTGGAGATTCAGGCCTTCTGAAAGGCTCTCTTATAAATTAGTTGACGGACAAACGGAACGCCGGGCTTTAATAATAGATCTCGATTGAAAATAACTCATCATGACACCTCCTTTGCCAGTATTAAATTATGATAGTAGGGTTTTCCCCTTTCTGGCAATAAAACAGGTGTTAAGATGTTAAAACACCAAACTGAAACCTTGGCAAGGAATCATGTCACCCAGTATCATAATTTAATACTGGCAAAATATATTTCATGATGTAGCTGCTCACCCCGAGCTAATAGGATAGTAGGAAGAGCTGATGCTTAGACAATGGAAAAACATCGTGTATTGATTGGTTCCACCCCACAGTGCAGAGGGCACGGTGGCATCACCAACAGTGGTTGTGAGGAACTTATCAAGATTAAATTTCGATTTAAAGCTTTCGTGACTGCAGGGATTCATCTTCTTGGTTCTTTCGGTAAAGTCACGTAGAAGGGAAGTAATAAAATAAAATAATAAAAATATGTTTTATTATGTTTAATTTTTATTATTTTATTACTTCCCTTCTACGTGACTTTATCAAGATTAGTGATAACATTTGGATTCCCAAGGAGGTACAACTAGGCTAGACACATCAATTGTATGGCAGTCCGCTATGAATGTTCATACTTTCCAGCGCAACATATTAACGTGTCCAACAGCAGTGCTCTCTCCCTGTGAGAGTATGTTTCCTCTTTGCTGATGGATTTTAAGCATTGTATGTATGGTTGAACTAATTTCGCACCGTACGTAGCCAACCGTGCTAAAATAATGACACCACCAAATCCGTGAATGTTAAATGCAGTACCGTGCTGTGCAGGCAAAATGAATAGCTTAGCAAAAGCCAGCAAATACCGCGACAACACAATTCACGAATCTCAGCTGCTTACCTGTAGTCGTCGAACACGCTCAGGAGAACACAACTACGACGACAACAACAACAAACGACTGCGTTGACGACGGTCGGACGTCAAAAAGAGGGGAACGGGGGAAGTGGCGAGGCTCTCACCTTTGGCGGAGCCGAGGCGAAGTGAGGAGAACAACAGCAGCTGCTGTGAGCCGCGTACGAGCAGCGCGCGCCCACGACTCCTCCACACGCGACCCCCCAGGCTCAGCACCGTTGGCCACCAGCACCGGCAGGTGGCCGTTGTTGACTCGAGATAAAGCGATTTATGCTAATTCGTGTGGCATTTTATAAGCCCATGGAAACTTTGGTAAAGCTAACCGCTGTTTTTTTCCCGTTTGTCATGGATATTTTACAGTGTTCCACAGTTTAGATTTGAATAAAAATGTGCAATATATACAGTGAGGGAAAAAAGTATTTGATCCCCTGCTGATTTTGTATGTTTGCCCACTGACAAAGAAATGATCAGTCTATAATTTTAATGGTAGGTTTATTTGAACAGTGAGAGACAGAATAACAACAACAGAATCCAGAAAAACGCATGTCAAAAATGTTATAAATTGATTTGCATTTTAATGAGAGAAATAGGTATTTGACCCCTCTGGAAAACATAACTTAGTACTTGATGGCAAAACCCTTGTTGGCAATCACAGAGGTCAGACGTTTCTTGTAGTTGGCCACCAGGTTTGCACACATCTCAGGAGGAATTTTGTCCCACTCCTCTTTGCAGATCTTCTCCAAGTCATTAAGGTTTCGAGGCTGACATTTGGAAACTCGAACCTTCAGCTCCCTCCACAGATTGTCTATGGGATTAAGGTCTGGAGACTGGCTAGGCCACTCCAGGACCTTAATGTGCTTCTTCTTGAGCCACTCCTTTATTGCCTTGGACGTGTGTTTTGGGTCATTGTCATGCTGGAATACCCATCCACGACCCATTTTCAATGCCCTGGCTGAGGGAAGGAGGTTCTCACCCAATATTTGACGGTACATGGCCCCGTCCATCGTCCCTTTGATGCGGTGAAGTTGTCCTGTCCCCTTAGCAGAAAAACACCCCCAAAGCATAATGTTTCCACCTCCATGTTTGACGGTGGGGATGGTGTTCTTGGGGTCATAGGCAGAATTCCTCCTCCTCCAAACACGGCGAGTTGAGTTGATGCCAAAAAGCTCCATTTTGGTCTCATCTGACCACAACACTTTCACCCAGTTGTCCTCTGAATCATTCAGATGTTCATTGGCAAACTTCAGACGAGCATGTATATGTACTTTCTTGAGCTGGGTGACCTTGCGGGCACTGCAGGATTTCAGTACTTCACGGCATAGTGTGTTACCAATTGTTTTCTTAGTGACTATGGTCCCAGCTGCCTTGAGATCATTGACAAGATCCTCCCGTGTAGTTCTGGGCTGATTCCTCACCATTCTCATGATCATTGCAACTCCACGAGGTGAGATCTTGCATAGAGCCCCAGGCCGAGGGAGATTGACAGTTCTTTTGTGTTTCTTCCATTTGCGAATAATCGCACCAACTGTTGTCACCTTCTCACCAACTGCTTGGTGATGTTCTTGTAGCCCATTCCAGCCTTGTGTAGGTCTACAATCTTGTCCCTGACATCCTTGGAGAGCTCTTTGGTCTTGGCCATGGTGGAGAGTTTGGAATCTGATTGATTGATATCTTCTGTGAACAGGTGTCTTTTATACAGGTAACAAGCTGAGATTAAGAGCACTCCCTTTAAGAGTGTGCTCCTAATCTCATAATCTCAGATCGTTACCTGTATAAAAGACACCTGGGAGCCAGACATCTTTCTGATTGAGAGGGGGTCAAATACTTATTTCCCTCATTAAAATGCAAATCAATTTATAACAATTTTGACATGCGTTTTTCTGGATTTTGTTGTTGTTATTATGTCTCTCACTGTTCAAATAAACCTACCATTAAAATTATAGACAGTCTGTGCACAAACGCCACCCTCCCTAGCATTTCGCTTGGGAGACCATCTCTTCCCGGTGCCTTTCCTGGTCTCAGACTCTGGATCGCCTTTAGTACTTCCTCAATAGATGGCACCTCAGCCAGCCACTCACAGGGGGTGACTTCTTCCAATATTTGAGGCACCGCAGCCTCAGCAGGGTTATCCATCCCCACTTTGTCCCACGATGTTTTCCATGTCGAGGGATTTCCCCTCCCCAGGACTTCACAGAAATGCTCAGCAAATCTGCAAACTTGTTCCTGGGGGTCGGAAAACGGATCACCCTTTTTCCCCTAATGATGGTAATAGGTATGGCGCTGCAGGTTACTTTTTTAATGGAGTTAAATAGGGATTTGTGATCGCGGGCCATTGAGGCAGACTCCATCTCCTCAGCAACCTGCGACAACCACCCTTGCAGCGCCTCACAGCTCTCCGAACCTCCGAGTGAAGGCTGCGGTAAGCCTTATCATTCTCTGATGTGGGATGCTGTAGACGATTAGAGTGCGCTTGTTGCTTTTTCTCAGCCAGCTTGAACACCTCCTCTGTCAGCCAGGGTCTTTGGGGAGGTTTTGACTGTGTACCCAAAGCAGCCATTGCAGCTGCCTGAGTCAAAATCCTAAACCTCACCCATTTACCCTCAACATCTGGAGGAGTTGGGGACGATGTGAACCCCAGCCGCAAGAGATGATGAATTATAGCTTGCAACTTTCATCAGCTAGCTGAGACCAGGCAAACTTAGATTTGAATGGGGTCCAGGGTGTACACCTACCACCGGAGTGGAAGAATGGCAGGCGCATCTTACAGATGACTAGTCGATGGTCAGAGGGCAGATCAGCTCCATGGTAGGTCCTGGTGTTAAGGACACGGGCCTGCATCCGCTGGTCCGTCACTATGTAGTCCAGCACATGTTGTTGCTTGGACCCGGCATGCATCCATGATGTTGTGTGGATGCGCCGATGCTGGAACAGCGTGTTGGTAATTACAGGGCAATGGGCTGCACACAAATCTAGCAGCCTCCTACCGTTGTTATTGAGCTGATCTGGCCCATGCCTTCTAATCACTGCAGACCAGGTACCAGCATAATAGGCTAACTCGAGCATTGAAGTCACCCAACAAGATGACTCTAGCCCGAGGGGCCACTTTATCTTGCACCTGTGACAGGAAGTCATAGAAGGCATCTGACTCATCGGCCTTGCGTGCATCCCTCCACGGATGTTCATCTATCGTCGGGGTATAAGTAACCATGACCACCACTCCTCACCTCCGGTTGATGAGAAGGTGAGTCCAAAGTAGCCTGGGGCTTACAGCTTCCCACATTTCACCGCCATGCTCCCATGCCCCCTTCATTCAAGCCACTCCCTGTTCATACTCTTTGGTTCTTTTAGTAAAGTCACGTAGGTATAAAATAAAATAAATCACGACGTTTCGATCGCAACACAAGCGGTCATCCTCAGGCAGAAATATATATATAATCCAGCAGTGGAACCGCTGAACTAGCGAGAGAGCAGTTACAACAAGGTTATATATGTGGTGATGAGCAAGCAAGTGGGGTCTGAGCTGGAACGGAATTCTACCCCCGGACGCAAGCATGTCAGTTGTGTTAATGGGGGAGATTAGGGAGAGAGGGATTAGGGAGGGAGATTAGCATGAATGAGCTTCCGTAGCTGCATGAGAGTTTCATGCCCGCATATGTGCACAACAGTGACTTTACCGAAAGAACCAAATAGTATGGATTCCTGCAGTCACGAAAGCTTCAAATCAAGATTGATATCACTCCCCGTTGTTTGGTAGTATCCTGCCCCGAGTAGAGGACTGTCAACCCCTCATGGTGGCATGAGCCAGAGCCAGTCCACCGGACCTCCTGATTACCACAGAGATCCAGGTGGTAGTGGTCTAGCTCGTGACAGAGGAGTGGCAGCCTCTCCTCCGCAGTGAGCGTTCGAACATTTCACGTGGCCGTAGTGGCTTTTTGTTGTTTCTGGAGGAGCCCCGAGTGTAAAGATTCAATCTGCTGGCTCCTCCAAATGGGGTTTGGCCAAGGAGACGTCATAGACGCCTGTCCCCCCGGGGCCTCCGGCAAAAGCTTATTAATAAAAAAATTCATTTGTGGTTTAGTGGTAATTAATTGAAGCCCCTCGTACCCATCCAGAGCCCCCATTTGGCCGCTGTGGTGGTTACAAACGCCATGAGGGGAAAGGCCAATCGGAATTGACCATCTCCCCCACAGCACTGAACACGACAGCATTGCCCGTCCGGCACCACGAGGAGGTAGGGGGTTGTTTTGCCACACATACACACCTTGACGTACACACATGTAATGTGCGACTTCCGCGACAAGTCGTGTAGAGGGTACTCTTCTTTATTCCACATACAGCACAGGCCAACGTTATCGGCCTCCTCTCCAAGTTCACACTTAGATATGAATTTTCTACAGACTACATACACGGTTGATCACACGGCGGGTTCCGCCCGTCCGCTCCCGGTCTCGCCGCTGGCTGACGGCATGCCGGGGAGGGCGGTGGAACTCGGCAGGATATCCACCACGTGGCCAAAT